GTTTGGGGATTGGGGGGTGTAAGGGGAATAGGCAAGAGAGTGGAGGCACTTTGGGAATGGGATCGACCATGGGCTCACATGGATGCCCCAAGGGGGATGTGGAGCACCCGAGGAATAGGGTGGGAAGAGGGTGGGGGAACTGTGGGGAATGGGCACTGCAGAGAATGGGGCACCGCAGGGCATGGGATCACTCATGGGGTGCTGGGCTTGGTTGGATGCCCCCAGGTGGGATGTTGGGTGCCTGAGGAATAAGGTGGGGGGCTCTGCAGGGAATGGGATCTCTCATGGGGTGCTGGGCTTGCCTGGATGCCCCAAGGGGGATATGGAACACCTGGGGAATAGGGTGGGAAGAGAGTGAGGGCCCTCTTCCCATTCCCCATAAAAGGGCTGGGGGCAATGCAGGGGATGGATGGGATCACTCATGGGGTGCTGGGCTTGCCTAAGTGTTCCCAAGTGGGATGTGGGATACTTGTGGCATAGGCTAGGGAAGATAGAGTGGAGGACCCAGCAGGAAATGGACACTGCAGGGATGGGCATTGCAGGGGATGGGATTGCTCATGAGGAGCTGAGCTTGCTTGGATGCCCTCAAGTGGGATGTGAGGTGCCTGGGGAATAGGGTGGGGGGCACAGCAGGAGATGGGCACAAAGGGGATGGGGCACTGCAGGGAATTGGCACTGCAGGGAATGGGGCATCACAGGGGATGGGACTGCTCATGGGATGCTGGGCTTGCCAGGATGCATTAAGGCGGATGTGGGGTGCCTGGGGAATAGGGTGGGGGGAACAGGGTGGTGGCACTGCAGGAGTTGGGCACTGCAGGCAATGGGATCACTCATGGAGTCCTGGGCTTGCCTGGATGTCTCCAAGCAGGATGAGGGATGCCTGTGGCATAATGGCAGGGAGATACGAGCTGGGGGCACTGCGGGACGATGGGCCCGGCAAGGAATAGGGCACTGCAGGGATGAGTGAGGCTGGGTCCCTCAGAGACAGGGTGCCCAGGAGGACTGGGTGCCCTGTCCCCACCACTCACCGCCATGCTGTGTGACAGCTGCTCCGCCGTCAGGCTCAGGCTGTAGTGCTGAGCCTCCAGCCGCCGGCACTGCGTCTGCAGCACTTGGCGCTCCAGGTTTTGTTCTGCAGGATCCAAAGGAGAGGAGAGAGCCTGAGCACCAGCTCCTCCAGCCCCATGCATGGCACAGGTGCCACCATGGAGGATGCCAGACCCAGCAGTGATTATCCCCAGCATCCCAGAGCATCCCCAACCCTTGCACACGGAACCTCCAGGTCCTGCTGGGAGGACACCAGCCAGTTGAAAACACGCTAATTTTCCATGCATACACCGATTTTCACCACTGCCTGCTGATTTCATGCTGCTCCTGCAGCACTGGACACCAACCAGTGCTTCCCCAGTGCAAACCAGCAATGCCTCCCAGGCAAAACTAAGGCACAAAGTGAGACTTCACCCTCCTTGCCCAACCTCCCATCCCTTACCTTCTATATGTTCCTGGTAAGCTTCAAAAATTGCCTCAATCCCTTGCCACTTGGGCCTGGGGTAGTCTTCTTCCTCTTCCTCCTCCTCCTCCTCCTCTTCGTCCTCGGAGGCCGAGTCGTGGGGCAGCGGCGGCAGTGGCCGGTGCGGCAGTGTCCCCTCGGCCGTGCCGTTGTGCGGGGGCCCAGCCAGGCGGCTGGAGGCCTGAAGCTCAGGGATGTTGTAGTGGATGGAGGCATCAAGCTTGTGGTTCTGCTCTGCTGTCAGCGCTGCTGTTCCCCCTGTGAGCACCCAGTGTCAGCCCTTTGCCAGCTCCCTGCATCCCCCATACCCTCCAAAAGGGATGCTCCCCACTCAAGGCATTCATTCCACCCTCCCAAGCCCATTTTCAGGAGCTACAGTGTTTTGGTGGGTTTTATCACTCCCCATGCACTGGAGTAGCTTCATTTATCTCACTGAACTGAATGAGTTTGGGCATCAGAGCTGTGTTATACCAGCACCTTATTTTTAGCTTCCATGAGCTCCTGGGACAGTCCAGCAATGAGGTTGCTGGTGGCAAACCCTGGTGGAGGGGCAAGGAGGACTATCTCAGCTACTATTATCTCAGTGGCACCCAGCCAGCTTAGAATCATAGAATCATCAAGGTTGGACGAGACCTCTAAGATCACTGAGTCCAACCATTAGCCTGCCACTATGCTTCCTGCAACCCTGCTTTCTTTTCTGGATAGCAGGAAGAATTTCTTCATGGAAAGGGTAGTTAAGTATTGGAATTGCCTATGGAGGTGGTGGAGTCACCATCTCTGAAGGTGTTCAAGAAACAACTGGATGCGGAACTCAGTGCTCTGGTCTAGCTGGCAAAGTGGTGATGGATCATGGGTTGGACTTTATGATCTTGGAGGTCTTTCCCAACCTAAATGATTCTGGGATTTGTGCTTCCCCTTACCTTTGTGCTTCTGCAGTGCCTTCTGTGTGGACTGCAGCACTGACTCGTGGAACTGATGGGCAAACTCCTCAGCAATGAAGGGCTCCCAGGGCTTGCTCTTGCCATTCATGCTGTGGGACAGCGGCACCGGGATGTCCTTGGGGAGGGGACCCCTGACGTAGCTGAGGATGCTCAATGCCTTCTTCCCGGGGTGTCCATCGCTCAGCCGAGGCTTCTCTGATGGCACAGTGCCTGACTCCTTGGCCCTTGGTAGCTCCTGGGGTCTCAGCTGGTCTAACCTGTTGGGTTCCGTCGTCTTCGGCACCTCCGGCACAGAGACAGCAATGCCCACGGGTTTATCTAGGTCCAGCAGGAGCGGCGGCACTGGTGGCTCTTTGGGAAGAGGAAGAGAAGTTGGCTGCAGTTGGAGCTCCACAAGGCAAAGCCATCCCACCAGGCAAGGGATGCTCCCAGCCAGCTGAGAGCCAGGGAAGGACTTGGGGTGCTTACCAGTGGTGGGGGCGCTGGGGCTGTCCCGCGGGGAGCAGCCGGTGTGGTCTTCTGCTTCATGGCCTGGAGCATCTCCACCAGCTTCTCCTTGTCTGCAGCATGGGAAGCTGAGGTTTAGTGTAGCCTCTGCTCAGCAGAGCAAGCTCATGGCCCCAGGCAGGACCCCTCTGTGGCACCCCCAAACCAGGGAGCAGGGCACCCCCAGGCCAGTACCGGCCCCGAGCGTGCACGGGGCATGGCTGTTACCTTTCCTCTTCTCGGCGCTGATGTGTGTGAGGTTGAAGATGGTGAGGAAGCGCTTCTTCTCCTCGAAGTTGGGGCTGTTGTTCATCTCATCGGGGCTGTAGCGCGTTGAGAGCGGGAGGCGTGGGGAGGGCGTGCGGCGCTTGCTCTGCACCGTGGGTGGTGAAGGGCTCCGCTCCCGCAGCATCCGCCGGCGCTTGCGGCGCTTCTGGCTCAGCAGTTCCTCCTTCTGCTGCTGCGTGGTGAGGCCAAAGAGCTGCAGGAACTCCAGCTTCTGGGGCGACAAGGGGAAGAGCAGAGCAGGTTCATCCCCAGAATAGCCTCCATCCTCATGCCATCCCCCTTCTCATGCCCATTCCCAGCCTCATCCTCATCTTCATTCCCTATTTTCATCCACACCCTATCTCCTTTCCAATCCCATCCTCATCCCCACACCCATCCCCACCCTTGTCCACACAATCATCCCCATCCTCATCCCCATTCCCCTCATCCTCATTTTCATTCCCATTCCCATCCCCATCTCCACTCCAATCCCCATCCCCCTTCTCATGCCCATTCCCAGCCTCATCCTCATCTTCATTCCCTATTTTCATCCACACCCTATCTCCTTTCCAATCCCATCCTCATCCCCACACCCATCCCCACCCTTGTCCACACAATCATCCCCATCCTCATCCCCATTCCCCTCATCCTCATTTTCATTCCCATTCCCATCCCCATCTCCACTCCAATCCCCATTCGAGTTTTCAACCCTATCCTCATCTCCCTTCCCCCATCCCCCTCTCCAATCCCATCCTCATCCCCACACCCATCCCCACCCTTGTCCACACAATCATCCCCATCCTCATCCCCATTCCCCTCATCCTCATTTTCATTCCCATTCCCATCCCCATCTCCACTCCAATCCCCATTCGAGTTTTCAACCCTATCCTCATCTCCATTCCCCACATCCATCCCCATCCCTGTTCCAATCCCCATCCCTAACCCCCCGATGCCTCTGCAGCTGGCTAGGGACAGTGGCTGGAGCACAGCACTGGGGGCTGGTGCTGCGGAGGGGTCCCCTAGGGGACAGAGAGGCACAGGGAGGGGACAGGGGACAGTGAGTGCCATCAGTACCTCAGAGGACGTGTCCAGCTTCAGCGGGGGCTGCTCAGCCACGCAGCGGAGATGTGCCCGCACCTCCTCCTCGTCGCTGTCGTCACAGGAGTCGTCCAGGTCATAGTAGTACCCTGGGGGTGGCAAGAAACTGGTGTGAGACTGGGGACACCACAGGGACCTATTGGGACTCCATGGAATCTTCTGGGACCTCGGGAAACCCACTGGGACCCCGGTGGGGATGGGGGTGCAGCAGGGTGCTGGTGCAGTGAGGCAGGATGCTGGGGGGGAGCTGTGGGGGTCCAGTGAGGGGTACCACCCAGCAATGTCCTGTCCCCTCTCCACCAGCTGTGGGACCCTGAAGGGCATCCTGCCCTGTGTCCCCACTCAGCACCACTGTGGGACAGGTGGGGGGTGATCAATAGGGCACAGCCGGAGAGAAGCTGTTGGCCAAACCCCCATCCCACCGGAGAGAGGACAGCAACACCTGCCCCACAAAGCACTCCGTCTCCTCCTCACCGCTGCTCTCTCACCGCTCACACAGCCCCATGAATATTTAAAACCTGCTTATTAGCCTCAGTTCATCATTTATTAATTGGGCGCGTCTGGAGCCGAGGGTTTACCAAGCCGCTC